GATGAATTACACCGTGATTGTCAAAAAATCGCAGCGCAATTATAAAGTACTTTTTCTTGTGAAGGTGAAATTTGAATTAAAAAAGATTAATGTCTTTTTTTTTTTGGTGTTGTTGTTTGCTGTTTTTTTCATTTATTTGCTTTTGTTTGTTGTGTTTTTATTTTGTTTTTTTTTCTTTTATATTTTTCTTGGGGGTGTTAGATAAGTTAGATATGCTTACTCTTTTAAATAATACTTTTGTGTTGTGTTGTGTTGTATTATATTGTATTATATTATATATAAAGTCAATTCATGGGATCTTCCTTTAATTTCCTATTTCAAATGATATATCCATTGCCTTATGCCCTGTCCTGTTTTTATGTTTTTACTTGCTTTTCCTTCTCGGCTTGTTGCTGGTTGCCTTATGTCGAGTAGGGGTTGCATTCATTTAATGCCGCACTTCCTGGCTGATCTTGTTGTTTGTTTGTTTGCTTTTTTTTTCATATTTTAACCAAAGCTGAGGTTCATATCAATTCAGATCAGATAGCCTATCTTACTAGAGATAAACAGAAGTAGTCCTATAAAGCAATGATTTGCATTCATTTTGGAAGGGGATTCCTTTTATGAATTGAACATGTATCAATCCATTGTAAAAGTACTAATTGATATTATGCATAAAATTAATGTTGTTGAGATTTATTTCACGCATTCATGATAAGTATTTTTTTCGTATACAAAGTACAAAAAATATTTTTTTTGTTTAAAGTACATTTGATTTATACATGGTTCAAATTATTTGTCCTATTTATAATATAACTTTTTTGCTTGTACATGCAATACAAAGTTAATTTCTAGTATTGTTATTTGAGGGAGTCTTAATCTGACTGAATTCATTGAAGAAACGTATTTTAAATTGTGTCCCTAGCTAAGTGATTTATAAAATGAAATTTTCATCAAACTGATATTTCGTGATTATTTACAAAACAGCTGATTACTCGGATGAGCACACGGGAATCGATACTGTCTCTAACTTTGATGCTTTTTTCATCTTTGTAGAAAAATTCTGACTAATTAAAGACGTATCTTTTGTGACACGTTTCCTATTTAAAACCTCAAGTGTATTTCTTTCTGTTTTCGATTTTAAAGTTGCTAATTAATTTTAGAAATGTCATTGTATGTGATTTGTTACCTTATCAATTTCTACTATAGTTGCACATTGTTCTATAACGTGTTCCATATATATTTTTTGTTGATTTTTATTATTTGTTTTTAAATACTAAACGTTTTTGATAGTGTATTTCCTTCAAATCAATTTCCAACCGCTAAAAAACTGTTGTCCTCTACACATTGTAAATGGTTTGTCGGTCGTATATTCCTATCGCATTATCAAAGCATAAATGTTTATTTTCATCATTCTTGTTACCTGAAAGCCCCAAGGCCATTATGTCAATCGTTTATCATCGCTGTTTCGGAAATCATATATGATTAGTAGCCGGTCACTTGATGAGAAATTGAGAAATTGGTTATTAGTTGTAGGTTATCCAATGACGTTGGTTAGGTGGATCGAGTGCCGAGATACTACCAAAATATGTTTAGAACTTCATGTCCAGATACGTGCATTTTACAAACTTATATTTTGCTTTTAAATTGCGCAGCATATTTTTAATCCATTATTATCAATTATTATTTTACATGCGCGTTAAATTATATAATATTTTATGATAATCGAAAGTCATATAGTATCCCATCGATATAAATGATAATTTTATCATAGGTTTTGTGTACTAAAAATAGTTGCATACTTAATATCTTTATTTTATATTATTTTATTTTCTAACAGTTTTATGTGAATCATTTTTCATAGCTGATATGGCAAGGTTTTCAATTTATCTTCCAATAAAAGGAATACATCAATAAGGAGGGAACCAATTTACTGATTGGATTACCAATAAATTGCCTTACACCTTCGTCTCGAAACAGATTATTTGTAAGAATATAATCAAGTATTCAACAAAAATGCCAAAAATGTATATTTTTCTTCTACATTGATTTAATCTGTTGATAATATTCTTGATTACAAGGAACCAAATGTTTGTTTCCATTGTTCGACCTCAGAGTAAAGATGTCATTCTTAACTAAAAGTATAGTATTATTATATAGAAGCTGAATTAATAATTTCATAAACGTTTGGAATAATCTTTAAAAAATATACATATTACTTGAACAATGACTATGGACAGAAACAGGTCATATGTTTGTTTAAGCTTATCGGTCTTATTTAAATGTTACAAATGTAATGAATATTACATACAAGCAACAAAAGTACATTCACAAAGCAAAACCACAAAAATCATAAAAACATATATTGTTCAAGAAAAGATTATACCAGAAATATCTTTGAAATGATACTCGGCCGAAGTAATACTGCTTTTACTTACATATGTTATTTCGTGGTTGTTTAACACAAAAAAGTAATGTCAGTTAATTAACAATAATAACGTGGATAAATTCTTAGTTCCTGACAATACCCTTACCACGATTGACATAGCATTTTGTATTTGATCTAGGAAACACTGTAAGATGTGTCTGTCAATGAATCTGTCTTATTTCGGTAATTGTAACGAACACTGACGTTTTCATTTTCACATTAATGTGTGCTTTATTAATTTGCAAAGGTACATGTATGGGAATAATATGTTTCAAATAAAGTGCACATATAAAGGATAATACACGATTGTATAATATCATGGGCACTGAACGTAATGTATTGACAGTACTCAGGAAAGTTCCGAGTTTTTTATGTGATGTTTTTTTGGTGTTTTCGGCACAGTGTCTTGCATACCAGACCTGTGTTTCTGTTAGTTTTACTTATGCCTAAAATTTAATCTGGCATGGGGGGTGCCAAATCAGTCGCATGCGACACAATTGCATGCTTAGGGTGACGTAAGTTCGCCATTATGAATAAAAATGTAATTTGATACGCTGTTGTAAGATAAATAGCTACGGGTGTAATGACATCAATTTCTTTTGAAATAGTTATCGCTCAATGGGCGGGTTCCCTCGGGACGAATATTCCGATCTGAACCGTAACATATGACATATATTATTGTACTGGGATCGAGAGCGTGATTGATGGTCTCTTTATTCCAGACAAAACTTATGTTATTTACACCACAGCTTATAATAGCTGTGCACTATTAACTAATGCAATTTTTAAAAGTGTTTAATGGGAGGAAGCACAGGCCACATGTCTCAACTGTCTCAAATATACGAGAAATTATACTTTAAACCTTGTTTTTAAAAGTCCTCTAAATTAATTAGGAAATAAAAAATATGTTTCAGAAAGATCCTTTAGAGTATTATTCTTATTTTAGGTTGGCCAATGAGATTTCCTGATTTTAGATTGTAATTTTAAAATGACCGATGATTATCCTACCTATATATAGTTCTTTTATGTACATTTTACAGGAAGTCAAAGCGTTCTCAGACGGATTTCGTCCAAAAACGAAACAATATATCATTCGCAGTCAGTGATTTAGAAACGACAACATTTTGTACTTACACGGAGATAACAATATCTAGATTTTTATTATTATAGATGAATATGCACAGAGATACTATTGTTTGCCAGTATTTTGGAATAAAAAATAAGGGTTGCTGAGTCAAAAGCAGAACGAGGGATGAAAGGTGATGAAAAGAAATAAACATTTAGATGTCGCGTCGTCGTATTATCGTGTAGCTTCAAGTTCGATTAACATTTATAATTAAAGAGTGGTGGTACCTTTTAAGCTTACATCTCAATAAACACCAATACATAGTGATAAATCATGTTTGTTTTCTATACATGAATAAAAGGACCGTTTAGTGATACATTCACTGGAATATATAAAAAAACAGGTTGGTTCAGACTAATAGGTATTTACATTTCGGTCATGGAATGCTTCACAAAATAAAACCTACAAATAACATTAAAAGGGAAGTAACGGTTTGAATCATTTTATACAGTATTTAGAAGCAATTACTTCCCATTATTCAAATAAATACACAACACTGTTGGTGATAGTATTAACGCTTGCAAAATATCATTTAAAAATGTATACTGTGCTTCTCTTAGTTCGCCGTTCGTAACACTTGAAACAAGAAGAAAAACAAACATGCAATGAACTTATGGTACAGTGAAAATGATATTCAGCTGTAACTTTTAAGTATTTTCCGCAGTACTACGAAAATAAAACAATGCATTCAAGCAAACAGAGATTAAATGAGACATTCGTAGACCATAGGTCATTTTATTTTTAAAACAATCCTCATCATTTACTTCGCGATGAGTTGTTTTTCAATGTTTCAGTTGTAAGTACTTAATATTATGTTGCTTTATTTTCGATATTTAAACTATCTTCACCTTAAAGCTTGTGATTTAATGTTTCTTCAACAAACAAGAACATATAGAATAGGACAATTGTTTCAAACGAAAGCAATGATTTAAACTCACTTTATTGACTTTTGCAGAAATTAGTAAATCGTCGATTTTCTTTACTTAAAGGTACACATATTCAAATTCCTTTGCTACAAAACATGGTCGTTTAAGTCTTTTACATTAAGGACATTTCTTTACCATAATTAACACCGGTCCCATGGAAATATGTCAAAGCTGTGAAATAAGTGATGACGTGAAATTAATGATGTTGACTATACAATCCGACGTTTTTGTTATCTTTAAACATAATTTTTACAGTAAATCAGATAAATCAAAGTCTGCCTATGAAAGTCATTTTTGATTGGAACCATAATGAGACCCGATCTTACTGATTCCGTGTGTGCTTCAACAATAATATGACATTGAACCGCAATGACTTCCAATTAGGAGCATGCATACTATAACCCCATTAATTTAAAGCATTTTGGCTTAAATATTCAAACGCATCACTTTGATCTTAGTTGCTTTACCATATTGTTTGCTTTTATGGGTCTATTCTTTGGGCTTGCTATTAAAAATAAAGTAATGACCAACTGTTTATAACTTCTTTGCTTTGATATTTTATTTTCCTTAGATACATTATATTTTTTATGACAAATGATTTTTTTAATTTTCAATTTTCCTTACATTTATATGATTAATTATTAACAGCATCCATACAACTAGTTTAAGTCATTTTGAAATGTCAATAGAACTTTATTATTCTAGACTTTCCTTTGTTTATTCAAAAGTTTAACTGATCGAATTTTAAATAATTAACAACTTCCAAATCGGACAACCCCGTTACAACATGAATGGAATTTATGATTATAAGCCTTATCTCCACAGCACGACTGTCCACTTCCAAACCTAATTATTCCAGCACAGCACGTGTGGTATTTGTAATTGTAAGCTTCTTCGCCACAACACGACTGTCCACTTCCAAACCTAATTTTTCCAGCACAGCACGTGTGGTATTTGTAATTATAAGCTTCTTCGCCACAACACGACTGTCCACTTCCAAACGAGAGTTTACCCGAACAACAAGTATGGTATTTATAGTCATACGCTTGTGTCCCGCAACATGACTGCCCACTTCCAAAAGTAAGAACGCCCTTACAACAAGTATAGTACTTGTAATCATATGTTTTTGAACCACATTTTGCTGAAAAATAAATTTTGTTTCATTATGATGATCAAATACATGTGTATAATTAGTTAAAAGTTATAACAGTTCTTATAAAAAAATATCATATGAACATATATAAGATATAAAAATGCTCATGATAATTGCAGATTTCTTAAAGGCATAATTTCTAAATAGACAGATAGTTGAGATTATAAATTGAGCAATTTTACTAAAGACCTGTTGGGACAGGACAACTTCATGAATTTCCGAAATCATCTTCGTGAATTCACCAATTGAACAACGTGAAATCACGAATACAACTTCAGGAATCCATGATATTAACTACACGATTTCATCTGCATCAAGTTAAAGTCTTGAATGCACGAAGAGTGAAATCGTGAATTCACGAAGGTGAAACAATAATTCGTGAAGTTGGATTCGTGAAGGTGAAATCATGAATTTGTTAAGTTGAAATCCCTGATTCCCTATGTTAAGAACGTGAAGTTTAAATCCGAAATTCATGATGATGAAATTGTAAATCCGTGACGTAAAAATTCTAAAGCTGAAATCGTGAATTTATAAAGTTAAAATCGTGAATTCGTGAAGATGAAATCGTGAATTCATGTAGAAAAAATCGGGAATTCGTAAAGTTGTAATCATTTATTTATGAAGTTGAAATCATGAATTTCACGAAAATAGAATATTGAATTCACGATATCAAAGCCGAAAGTCATGAAGACCGGTTTTTCGTACAATAATTTCGAATATATTTATCAGTAAGTACATAACAAAATAACTGATAACAAATAGACGGTAGCATAGAGGGATATTGTTGTAATACACAGAAAGCAAAGACAAATTTAAAACTTCTTCAAATTGTATACGAAAAAATAAAAAAATCACTTGAATAAAATGTTTAAAGTAATAGAAAGAGCATCGAAACACGAGGCTATCTGATTTGTACGAGGGAGCGTAGCCCCCGAGTATTAATCAGATTGCAAAATGTTTTGATGTTTTTTCCCTTTTGTATCATAGTCAAACTTAAAAACTCGTTCCCTATTGTCACAATATGAAACCCCAGAAAAAAATAACCAATACACGAGCATCTGAATATGATATTTCTATCGCTTTCCCTTTCTCTGTCGTCATTAAAAGTAAAACCCAAGCAAAAAATTAGCCAATCAATGGGCATGCTCTGGAGTACGGGTAACTAATATCTGCACTCCAGTTAACACACTGTCCATGTACATGTTAACGATTTAACTCTTACACTACACATTTTAAACAGAAAGGTCCCCAAACTATAAAATAAATGTTTATTTAAATGTTCGACGCCTTTAACTGTTCTTATTATTTTTTCTTCTATAAATTGTAAGTATATTAAGTATAAATAGTAAGTAATACCTGCGCCTGTGATTGTAACACTGATCAAAGAAACGATCATCAAAGTTAAAATTAAACCTCTCATGCTATTGCCTGAAATATTAAAAACTATTTCAATATAAGGAAATATGAAGAGCATCTTTCATAGACTAATACTCGTGTTTTGAGAAATGAGGAAATTATTACATTTTTACACCCAAACCACACAATAACATCCAAACTTCTAACATCCATAATTTCTATCTAGAACGACCATTATGACCACGTATGTAATTAGAAGTGGACGTTAGTAACTGATATTCAAAATATACAGTTTAAAGTTACGTAAATATTCATAGATAAATGTATTGAACAAATTATGTCTACATTTCCTTAGAATGTAATTGACATGTTAAACTTCTTTATATATTTAATATATTTACCTACCATGCATAATTTTATAGAAGTAAAGAAGGCTAAAACTTACCGTTTTATGTTTCACCTGTTGTCGTGATAACAAGCAGTCTAATGCAAAATTGTATTTTAAATGTGGTTATATAGCATGTCAAATTGACAATGGTAAACAGGATTTAATAAGTGCAATGTGTGACATGATGTACAACAAAAACCAACCAAGCTCGCTAAGACACTCATTGGTCAACTCATCAAAACGGAAATTTAAAGCTGCATGTCTCAAGATGATTAAAATATTTCAACAAAATCAAACTTGAGAAAAATGTACAAAGATTTCAGGAAAAAAAAGTAGAAGAATTTCAGACTCAAATAATAATTTAATAGATGTTATGTGCAATTATGCAGTATTTATAACTTTATTCATACTGTGTTACATCTGCAGTAAAGGGAATGTAAATGATTTCCTTTTTTTTTTTTTTTTTTTGGTTACTTTACAATACAATATTATACTCTTAGATGCATACTTCAAACTTTTCATTAAACATTAAAATTGTTCTGGAGGCATGCAGCTTTAACGGCGTAAATTTACTTTTCAATAATTAACATAACAAACAAAAGGAGTGTACTTCGTAGGTTTCACAATATATATTTCTTGATACAAATGACGTTTGAAAACATCATTATCGAGTTAGATCCGTTCATTTTATGTATTATATACACATCGTTTTAGTTTCGATTGAAAACCATTTGCATTCGTCACAAATGTTACAAATTATCTTTATGACTTTTTTGTTTTCTTAAATGTTAAGCTTTAATCACATTGCTTTGTATGAATTGATCTCGTTTGTATACATGCGAACCTGATCGTAAGTTTGGCCTTGCAGCTGTTTGGATATTTCGAAAAGTTATTTAAAACAAACCAAATTGTTATTGTTGCTTTTTTGTTTGTTTTCTTTGTTGTTGATGTTGTTTCTTCTCTTTATTTTCCTATATTATCTAAATCAACGCATAGTTGCATTTTACATTTTGCATTGTATCAATTTTTTGTTGTTGTGTATACGATTTATCGCACTGTCGTCGCACATTAGGTGAAATGGGAAAAATACTTGATCTGTGAAAATTATACACTATCTAAACTCTTGACAGTTCTGTTTGTGACAAGAATATTTGACTCTATAATAGATTAGGATACCTCGGGCGGGCACAATTGTAACCATTTAACATATTTGTAAGAGTATCATTAGAAGAAAGAGCATACCAGATTTATAAGCTTTAGCAATTTCGCTTTCGGAGAGGTTTCCTTTTCTTTAGATTGCACTTGTTCCTATTTTATCTCCTTTGACAAAGAGATATAATTGACTGTTACCATTTGCACAAACATTGAATAATGTCATTCAAGAAACATTTGTGTCAAAATCAAAATCGATTCAGTCTGTACATGATGGATAAGGAAAACACCCCTCACTTTCCCTTACACCGGCTTGAGCGTTACTAAATTTTCAACACTTAAAAATTGCTGTAACCAAAGAGCCCGAATGACCATAAAGATATAACAACACTTAAGTGAAGTGACCCTTTTACAGCTGCCACATAGCACTTGCCACCTGTAAAGTAAAATCATCTCGAGAAAGTGTCATCCCTCAGAAACATTAATAACAAAATCACATGGAAATTGAAAAGTTTCATAAAAATCATGGGATTTTTACGACATTGTCATTTGAATAAATTGCGGACGGACAAAGTTCTAGCATTTTTGGTGTAAAAGATTTTTCTGTTATCTATATGTGGCATTTTTGTCAAGAGAACAGTAGAAAAAGCACATGAAACGGCGGTGTGTGTACTAGTAGTCTGTTTTTGTTGTTTCCTTCTTTCTTAAAAGTGTTCTTTTTAACGGAATGAATCTCACTAACTATTGCAAGTTGTCCGAACATTGCTTTGCACAGTGTCTCCAAAAAATCAAAGCAGTAGAACAAGATAATGATTTATTTTTTATCAAACAAAAATCCTTCGAATGTCTAAATTTGCTATATTTTCCGTTAAAAAAACTATTCAAGGGTCTTTTGCCAGTCTATTTGTACAGATTAACGATTACCCGGACGTTTTGTACTTCAAAATTATAACAACCAATATAATATAACTTCATGAAATATGTGAATGGACAATATCGATATTTTGACGGTTTTGTTATCGCACAATGTACGAATTGTACAAATTAAACATAACGACGAGACCATGGTCCAGTCTTAAACATATAAATTGCTTTGAAAATAGATAATATATATGTTCCTGATAAGAAAACGAATAAATCAAAATATTATCTCTATCAGTTTATAAAATCTTTGTTAAAATACAAACAAGTGCTGAGCGTTAATAAAAACTAATACATTCCAGTGATGTAAATAATGAAATGAATTCAAGACAAAACATCTACTAGTTTCGACTTTAATACGTCATCATAAGATAACACCATATTGATTTTTTATCTCCTTTTTGATGTCTAATTGGTCTTTTCGGAATGTATTAAATCATGTGTGGTTCAGATCTCCTGCTTCAAATCTGTCCATCTGTTTATCATGGCAGAATTTCACAAATCTGCTGCAATTTCACAATTTCATCACATGTTTCCCATTTTGTCACAATACAACATGATTTCAAACATTCTTATATCTGATATCTGAAATTATGCTTCGACGATTCCATCATATCTCTGTAAATCTTGTCAAAATATTCGTTCTGAGCGATTGTAAACCAGTTTTTCCAGTCCCCAACGTCTCCTGAAAACATGAGTTTTATTAATTGATATTTTTGCTATAATTTGATATTCATCATCATCTGATAGAAGTTCGTTCAGGGTATTTTTTGGTAAAGTGACATTGTGACAAGTACAAGTGAAAGTCGAAATAAGTTTTCACTTTGCCATAATTCCTTTCAATTAAGAACTTATTGGCATAAACGATTTATAAAACTGACATTGACCAAGAAGATGTCTGTGAATATCCAACAGTTTTTAACTGGAAGGATTAGTTTATAAAAAGAGCGGGGCAATTGTTTTTATACTTTAGGCAGTGTTTTTCTTATCCCAAACCTCCCCAATATTTTCCAATATTAACTATTTGTACATCACCTTATCAACAGTCAATCTTTTGAAATATATAGTGAATTCAGCTTAAAGGCTCAACTTGACGACGAAAAAAAGCCAAATGTCACTTTAAATGTTTATTGAATTAACAGACATTAAGTGTATAAAGTTATTTATCTGCTGCCAAAGTTATTGCTTGGATTTAAAAAGAATACTTCCAAAATGTTTGTAATATTAAATATGGTAGAAAATTTGTCTTGCGTTAAAAAGAAATTACTGTTAATGGGTTAAAACCATGGTAGAATAATATTTTGTTTCGGAATATTTGTTATTTTCATACAATATTCATGTGTGTTACGTAACATAGACATTTTATATTACAACATTTTAAGGAATCGACAAGCAGATTTTGGAACCAACAAAATTTTAATGGTGATAAACTTTACAAATATATTTAATAAAGATAAAGTCTTATAACCTTAACTCTAAATCGTTTTGATTGTCAAACTAAATCGAGTAAAACACTTAAAATTTATGATTGGAAAAAAATTGTTTTATATAAACCGCGGCGCGGGAGTGAAATAAAGCCATTCAATAAAAACGATATTACACTAGTGTAAAACACTTTGACGTGACGTCATTTGCATTATATATAAACATAGCGTTAACAAAATTTAACTTAATAGTTTACCGTTCGTATGTATATTATTTGATTAATGATATTCGAGTAGAACTCGTTTAATTAAACAATATTTTCCTCGCCATTTGATTTTATTCAACTCGTTCAATAAATTTAGTTTAGACCTTCTTTCATTCAATATCATCTATGCTTTTCTTCTTTTTTAAAAATACAGAATCAATTTCAGAACAAAACATAAAATGACTTAAGACTGGATTACCACGACTTTTAACCATTTTGAAATGTCTCAATAAAGCAAGAAAATATTTGTTTAATCATACTTGATTTGAAATTCTTGCAGAATTTCTGAAATTTTTACTGATAAAAATGTTATAGTATTGAAGACCTGTTTTCTGTCACAAACCTTTCCTATAGAATGTGAAACCCTCTATTGGATCTTGTGGAAATAGATACTTCTGTTTATCTTTTGCCATATTTTCAAACTGACATTTTTCACTTATGGCTTCAAAAAGACCGCCCGTGTCCTCTACGCCAAGAAATTTACCAAGTCGTCTTACTTCCCGAAGAGTGTTCTGCATTTGTAAGTGAGATGAACTTGTTTAAGCAATTGGTTACTAAATAAATTGTTTTAATAAAACATTTATGTTAATTAAATAACATCTTCTGGAAAATTATATTTTACGTGTTGTTGAAATACAAAGTGTATAATTTTATTTAAATGCACACTAATTGCAAACACATACGAGACTTATTTTATTGATCAACTATTGCATAAAATATCATCTAAAACTTATCTCGCAGACAAACCTGGTTAACGATAGAACTACCTCTTTCATATAGATTGATCTATCGCTTCTTCCGAGCTAGGGATGTCGCTAAAATCAGGTGTCAGCAAAGGTAAAGGGTTGTCATTTCTTATATATTTTTATAAACTCAACAACAATTATAGACTTTCGGAGGATGCTATACCATGTAGATATGATTCGAAGTTTCTAAGAAGCGTAAAGTTTGTACACTTTTGTGTTGCGGCGTTTACGAGTTAGCCAATTCAGCGTTGCAATGGTGAAACGGTCCATTTCAACGCTATGTTTGCTAACTTATAAACGCCGGTACAACCACATTTCAAACGAAAGTTTAAAAACCTTACGTTTTTTTCTAGAAATTTTTAATCATATGTACATTGTATAACATTTTTGATATTTGGTCTACAGTTTACAAAATGTTTAGAAAATGACAACATTTTACCTTTGTTGACAACTGAATGTAGCGACATGCACTAGCTCGGAAAAAAGCGATAGAGCGATTTACCGTTTACCTCCGAAAGAGGTAATTCTATCGTATACCAGGCGTGACAGAATAAGGTTCATGATTTCTACCTATCAAATAATAGTAAGGTATTTCGTATCATTACCTCCTCAGATCCTCATAATATACAAGATGTACTGGAAGGTTGAGTGAGGTCGACATTTCTTTCTCCCACTCTAAGACATACTCAAACCAACTATTGTATTCCGCTGATAAACAAATATAAACTTGTGCCAACATTGTTGTCATTTCCAAAGTCAATAAAGTACAAAATAAATCCATATCACACACATTATAGCCCCGAGTTAAAAAAATATCAAATGCTTATTGTAATAAAAAAGAAAGTTCTGTCAAATTGTAAAAAAATGATGGTGTGAAAAAGAGCAATTAAAGATGGTTGAGAACAATACTGACTCTGTTGGACTCGTACATAACTTCAAAACCTATATCAGAATCTGCGTCACCTCGTCCAATATAATTGTGACAGCTGTGTACTCGTCCATAAGAATTTAGTATTGTACTCAACGATGTATAATAGCCTCAAGTTATAAATAACCATGACTACAAAATGATTTGTTTATATTGGGTTAATATAGACCCTATATGTAGTTAGTGTTAATTTCATAATTGTTGATTTCATGGGAAAAAAATACAGTTTAAATCATATAAGATAAAACAATTTTCGTTTACTTTTGTTTAATTGATTTTAGTACAATTGTTTATCGATTTAACTGTCATTTAAGTTTCTTGTTTTATTAACAAGTTCAATTTAATTAAAAGTGTAATGTAAAATTTTAAGTATCATAAATATCTTAAACATGTTACTTTTTCCTTGTAAGAATAATGGTAGAAAATTTTCCCATTTGCCGTCGTATTCAATGCCGTTATACCCTTAGTGTGGTTGTATAATGATACAGCCAAATCTTTTGGATTACGAAGCACATAAACAAATTTGCAACGGAGTACCGTTGCTTCTTTTGGTAGGCGACTGTAATGAACATGAGTGTTCAACACCTGTAACAAAGAAATGGAATATGCCATTATACTGCATGTTTGAATTGTATAATTTTATGTTTAAAAATGTTACAGGAATATTCTTTTTGTGCAGCTGATACTAAGTATTAAGCAGTTTCCGCATAATCAATGATATTAAGCTATTCATATTTATATATACTAAGAGTTTTTGGTTAATTTACATGTATGCGTAAAGTAGATATACCCGAGGTGATGGCAAATTTTCTAAAGCCTCCCAGGAAAAGGCCTCAATCATATTCTCGATTTTGCTTCTTTTTATTGTCTCAGCTTTCCCTTCAAACATCATGGAAATAATTTCCCATGTCCAGTGTGTACCTACAGTGACGATAAAATGCACCCTGTAACACAACTTGAAAGTCACAAAACAATCCAATACTTCTACGAATGCCAAGGTTATAGTATGACATCAATATATATAATAATTGATATAGAAAACAAAGTGTTATATCTATTTACAATTAAAAAGTTTTTTTTTATAAATGTTAGAGTGAGTATATAGTATATTTTTCCACGTGAAATTTAAACACTTTGCATTTGTTCAATTGGAAGTTTAAAGTGTATACATAAATACTTATATTGAATCTACTTTACCAAACACAATTCAAGGGAGAGTCATAATATTGATGATGATAGTACAAATACAGCTATTAGCCATATTTTTGTTGAAACTATTCATTTTTCCTTAATCATTAATTTTGATAAGCCCAACTAGGCTATTTTTGGTGATTCTATGTTGTTTAAACGTCGCTCATCCTCTTTGTAAAATGCTAGACCTTAGATAAATAATAAGATTAAAATGACTTTTACCTGACTTTACAGGTGCACATATAAATACGTCGTCTGGTCTACATTTGAAGTTTGCCATTTCTCTAATTTTCTTTGCAGTTTCTTGTGGTGCATTAAATGTACATGTCCTATAGCCGTCAGTATTGAGGTATGTTATGCTGTGACCATCGCCATCCTCTTGTTTATATTCCGTCATTATTTCCTCTCAGTAGGTATACTTCTGCAGATATAACGTAACTTCCAGATGTCCTTTATTTCGATTTAAAATTATTTTCACTAACACTTACATGAGAGTTAAGATTTAGATGACATTTAAATAATACGATTTGGTAAAGCGATAAAAAAATAAACATTACTCGATATTACATGTTTTATATAAATGAAAAAATACCTGACTCGTACACATGTGATCTATCTTCGCGTAATCTTTAGAGGGCTATCAAAATGTGTCGTTTCACTGATAAATACTTGCGTCGTCGTATCATGAAGTCGTTTGAAATTAAATGCTTGTATGAATACATTATGCTATCTTAAGAGAGAATGTAGGCCATTGTGCAGTCCTATTGCATGTTTAGTGATAAATTATGATATGCGTGACGTATTTCATTAAGTTTTTGTTTAAAGGAGGACATTTATAATGTCAATAATCTAAGTGCCGTTTCATTATATCACACAAATTATTTTACATGTATATAAGATTTGGTAACATCAAAATATTCTTACCATTAAATATCTTCTTCTTCATCCTTTTCTCCCGCTGTCCTTCATCACTGTGTTAAGTGGATTAAGTATTTGAAAATGAGCTCAATCAAAATTAAGCAATTGACAGGTATGGCTCCTTGACACTGTACGTTTTCTCACTTGTCTCAAGACTATTTGAAGTGTCCATATTAATAGCTTAGAAGTTACTCTTCGGAAAACAAATAAACTAACGGAGGTTAAACATATGAAGTAAGTAAGGTAGAATTATCGTTCTTAAACTCATTTGTCTCATTCCCTGTATCCAGTTTTAATTAAAATCCTTCGAAAACCATTGCATGTTCGTGTACTTTGTATTTTTATATTTTACATAATTCCACTTAAACCTGAGAAAATTGTCACTTAAACCAACGGTGTACGTAAGTTATTTCGTATTTTTTCTAAATGGTAGGTTTTCTGTTAAACACTTCAGTCATGTCTTTCAAATTGGTGGCAAAATATTCTAATATGCTTCAAAGTATTCCCCTATTACGCTGAATTAAGTTCGGCATACCTTTAAAGATTCTCTTTTTATTTGCATATAAGAAAGGAAATAAATAAGGTAATATTTTTTCTTGCGTTGTTTAATAATGCACTGTTTATCGTCCAAATGATCTATGGTCTTTCGAGGTTATGTGTCTCTTAACTTTTGAACGCGAATCAGAAATTATAACACAAAAAAGCAATCCAAATTGCCATACATCTCCTTAATGAAAGAAAATGATATACAATGTACGTGAGTATAGTCGTTTACTGCAAAGTTTGGGAGTCAGTTTTAGAAGAAACATGAATTAAATACTAGGTTTAATTAGCTAAATATGCTTAACAGATAAACCTGTATGAATAACAAAACAAGTTTTTCTAAGACTATGAATTTTCTAAATATGAGAACACGATATCAATCCTCCTGTAAAGATCTGCAGTTTGTCCATATAATCAGCTATTTAAGGACGTTTTCGGAAGTTTTCAAATAGACATTAAGGCGTAAGTTAAACTAATCAATAGAATATCTAAAATCTTCGCATGTTGTGAGTATGAAATGACGGAAATATTGTGAGTGAAAATAAGTTTGATGTCACCGATCTCACATTTGAGTTATCAGAATTATTAACAAATATGAGGTGATTTCATAACTTATAAACTTATACATACGTCTATAAAATGTTGTGTTTGCTTTTGCATTATGTTTTTTCTTTTTTCACAATACATTGAAAGATGCAATTGCATATTTGTTTTCTGTTACAATGTTTAATTCGAATAAAGGGTCTTAAAGTTCTTTAATAAATATGCCATTACATAGGAGCACATGTGAATAGAAAAGAGGGGGAGGGGGGTTAATCTGCTCTTAACTCGTTCTTGAAATATTGCACATTTATTCAAACGAACGTTTCACTTTTAATCAAAAGGAATTAAACTACATAACCATGTGAGAAAATAAGGTATTTGTACCTTCATTGTGAATTATCTGTCCTAGAATTAACCATAAAAGTTCAATGCAGGGGCAGATCCCACAGAGAACGGTGAGCCCGCAATATTTTTCACTTAAAATGTTTTTGTAATCATTTTCTAACAACCTGCCAAGTTTAAAGAAATTCTAAAACATTTTTTGCCTATATGTCTATAAAATTTTCGAAAACGTATTTAAAATACTATTTTTTCATCGAGCTAAAAAAATCTATAAATAAATTTCAAGTACAAACTGTATCAAATATAAACAAAAGTTTGAAAGTAAACGTTTGTATATTATATTGATTTCTATGCAATACATATGACATCAATTAAGTTATATTTCAGAATGTGAAATGAGTTAAGGACATTAAAAAGAATAACAAAGTAGTCTGTTCGGATGTTTATATGCGGATGTTTCTAAAATCATAGTTAAACTTTACTCCTTTTTTTTAAATGTTGAATTCCGCGTAAGTCGGTGCTATACTTATGGGTAATTAAATACTTCTTTAGCAATAAATACGCAAGCACATACATCGTTTATCAAGATGATTTACTATTAGTAAATATTTATTTAAAAAACGATGTTAACTTACTTTTGCACTACTCTTAAAATTAATGATCCTTAAAACTATTGTACCGACTTAATAAATATCGTATTTGAAATAGGAGAAGATATATTTAGACTGAACACAATATAACAATAAACGCATGATCGACTTTACGCATATATCTACCATAATCTTTAAACCGGATGACAATATTTAAAGAGTAGCTATAAGAGGAAGAAGTTTTAAAATGATTTTAAGGATATGTTGTTTATTTGTCTTTATACAGACGGTTGGTAAGTGTTATTATCATTTAACCTTTTCGTTGCTAGTGAAACAATCTAAGTTGCATTATAGCTTGATTGGCGTGCTTATAAAATGATATATATTCTCAAATCAAAAGAGGAAGTTTAAAAACTTGAACGAAAAATTGAATGCACAGTATATTTTTTTCGTAATAATTATATGACACTCAAAATATACAACCTTCATATCATTTCTTAATGACTAAATAAATGGCATGCAAAATATTTATTGTGCAAGCAATATAACGAAACTGAAATCTTAAAAGTTAGTTAAAATAGTTAAAAGTCTAGTAAAATGTATTATTAAAGGCACATTATGCCTCAGAAAACCAATTTTTTAATTCTTCAGAATCATTTTACATGTGTTTAAAATCGTTTAGAAATGACTTCTAGCATGTTTGATGTGCGCAGTATTGTGTTATTGAAGTCAAAATTTCAACATGTAGAGTATTTTGAATTCCATATAAAGTACTTATTCACTATAATTATATCATTTGCTAATACACTAACAGAAGCAATTAATAATTTGTCTGTAAGACAAATGAGTAAATGTTTGGTAACTGTAACAAAAGATACCAAAAATAAAATATTTGAGATATAAAAATGATATCTGAGGCAAAGTGGACCTTTATTTTCAATTTGTTTCACATTGTTTGACACATACGTGTTTTGGGGTGTATGAAATGAATGCCGTTGTCCAGCTTGTATACATAAGAATTTATAAGAAATTGTATAAAAATGTTAACTCCGAATAAAAATAAGGAAAATAGTCAATTACAATAAATGCTCATGCACCTAGATTTTTGCATTAAACAATTATAAACAAACATCTGTTGATTAATAAAAAACACCATACTCAATTACAATATATCATATAGTCAATGTATGAATTTATCGGTTAACATTAAAAAGTCTGTGAAATGGCTTATGCGATATCGGTATATACCGTATGCCTCTGTAAATATCGCATATACCAGGTTTATCAATCCGTTTAAGTCTTCAAACCAATGAACATGATTGCCGTGAGAATATCTTTACGTTAAAATGTAAAACTACCGAAAAGGGTATATTTTGATGTTACAAATGAAATTCAATGCTGTTGAACATAACTGAATAAACAAACGTACATTATAATGAAATTTACATATCTGTTATTTATTATACATGTCTCATTATCTTAAAATTATTATTTTTTTTTTTTAATTATTTTTAGACAGTATCATGTGCTATTTCTGCACGGATACGAGCAATTTAGATGGACGGAATCAATGCCAGACGTGGCATAGAACCATGCGACATTACCGAAGGAAGTATGAAAAGACAGGCTCGTACACAATAGATAAATATGTGAAAAACTGTTCAGAATATGGTGGTATAGACTCCCCGAAATACTGCATGGTTGCACAGATCGACGAAGGAGGTAAGTAAGACACAATTGTCATTTAGCTTGATCGTATTATTAAACTTATGTGAGCATTACGAATAAAATTGTTTGGTATAACACAACACATTTATGGGAATATTACGCCCTTCATTTCACATTTACTGACCGACTTTATAAATGTTCAGAATCCGGTCGATCCGTATTAACTCCTACAATAAACAGTGTGTGTCAGCACACTGGAAAATTATAATGAATGACGTTTAACAGCACATACACAGTATATTAGGAAACTAATGGTACGGGCAGTGCATCATACATCTCGAAAAGCCATGATCTACACCATAATCAATAGAGAGAGAGAATTAAGGAAAATATAGTTAAACGATCCAGTCTATGAAGTTTTACCAACAATAGTGATTATGTCAACATGAAATTGAAAAAGGCATACCATAGAAAGGAAAGTGCGGTTGAAACCCGTAAATTTGTGTCTTTCATTCAACTGAACGCGTTCTGATCGAATCCCCATGATCATTAGAACCTGTTAAGCTACGCCCAATACAAAAAGATAGAGCGTACACAGCATTTCTGCTTTGCAGTCTTGGAAAAGTGTCTTTTAATGGTTTCCCAAAGGTTTCTTTCTGCGAGTGGTGAAAGGCATTTAATTCGAATGCGATTTGGGACTTTTTTTTTCATGTGTAAGAACTATTTAGATAGCTTACGCAATGTTGGTGGCTGTTATAATAAGAGGCATTCACGGGCCGGAAAGACTGCATTAAGTATAGGTTAGTGTTAAATAATATGTATTAACAAAAATAATTGGTCAAGCCTGCCAGCGGCAGGCGACCAATCATTTTTTGTTAATGCATATTATTTAACATTAACCTATTTAATGATCAACATTATTTTTTCAGCCAGGCTCTAAATCACTGATAGCTCCGCCCTTTCACACTACAAGGTGTCTACACCTTGTCAAGTTTCTAACATGTCACATTTAGATAAGCTAATTAAATGGCCCTTTCCACATATAATCAGGCACATGTTTTACTGAAATGTCACAAAATTTATACCGACTATCAATTGTTTCTATAAAATATGTGGAAAAAAACAAGCCAGGAAAATGATGCAATTAGATAAAAACTATGGAGTTAATAAAATGTGTACATTCTTTTAAAATAAATCGAAAATGTGAGAAAAAATACATAAGAGATTATGAATTGATACAATTTGTTATTGGCTTCAAGTTATTCACTAACATTTAAAATCCCTATTGATTTACTCATTTGAAAAACAGCTCACTTTTTCATTTTTCTGAGTGTCAATTTAGGTTAACAGGTCCATTTACAATGAGTTTTCCAGCCAAAAAATGTAAAGATTGTATTTTTAATGTCAAGGATTGTTAATGCAGTTCATTCCTATCAACTGCATTAGAAAATATAGAGTTTAAAACAGTCAGCAATTTATAACAGACATTTTTCTTAGAGTTAAAAGGATATAAAAAAGTTACTTTGTAATCATTGTCTCTGCGTGTCCCACATGTATTATCTGTGTAATAAATTTGATTGTATCCTCACATTCAGAAACACCTGACCTTTAAAAAAGTAGCGTTAGCATTGTTTTGATAACCTAGATATTTTACAATTCAGAGTGTAAACCATACCTCTAACTCCTCCCTAATATAATGCATTATTGAAATTTGTAAGACTGTGGTTAGACGACAGATTAAGTGAATTTCATTTAGTTAGTGCACATTGACCAAAGCTAGACTAAGCAGAAATTTTAAAAAAATACTGCAATGTGATTGGACAAAAAATAATGTTGATCATTAAGTGACATCTGAAGTATTCTCTCACCAGTAAAGCATGGAAAGAGATAATATGACATTGATTTTTGGTGTGACAGTGGTTCCCATATCATTTATCCTTATTATATAAAACAATATCAGCGATTTGTATTCATTTTGCTTACTATTACCATTACTTTCACTACGTTCAGTCATAAATAAAACTTTATTTGCAGAGCATACACGGACATTTATAAGGGACTGCAGTGATGGTACTTCATTTTTCAGCGACGATGTTGACGTTTATCTACAAAACCAGAAAGTTAAACCCGACAATCAGACAAGTTGTGAAGCATTGACATCTCTTGGAATAACAGCCTGTGTAACTCTATGTGGTTATAATGAATTCGGTGTCGGAGACTTTTGTAACGGACCTTTTGACACCTCTAAAGGGTCATCATTTAACCGGAATGCTGCACTGTTCTCAATACTTGCAGCTTTGATTTTCTTCAAATAGTGTTTTGTTGACACGGCATGTCTTTTTACATCATTTGATTTTAGGAATGAAGGAGGAGAAAGTTACAACACCCGAATAAACCAAGAAATATGCATATGTATCTAAAAGAGTATATTTGACAATTTGGAACATACACTATTTTGAGAAATGCTTCTATCACATTTTCAAGCATAAAACATTTGGATATAGAGAGCTTATTGTCAAACAATGCATTCATCAATTTCTAAACTTATATTGTTTCGTTTACATTTTATAGATAGATTACAATGTACGTATTGATACTTACAAATTCATAATAATGATTGAAGGTTATTGTTCGTCTTTGCAGCGAACTATGTTAATAGATGATAAGTCATGACGCTGCCAATTGGTATATTTATATTTATTTATTCTAATTCCGACCTGTTTACTTAAACTTTTTACTTCAAATGTCTTTAATGTCAATTATTCGTAGGAACCAACATTTAAGACATTTTTAAAAGTGTAAACCTATTTTATGTGAAGATTTATTAAGAATTGTTTCGTTAAACTAGGTTTCATGTTCATGTGGCTTACAGATGTATACTATAATATCATATAGATATATAGACGAACGTTTTTCATGACCTTAGAATAGCATTATCAGAATATGTCGGGAAAATAAAATCATCAATGTCACTTTAACAGTTTGCTTTTTTCAAAGATGAATTACATTAGTATTCTATGAAGATTAAATCTTTTCAAAACACCTGTCTCCATCTTGAATGACTATGCAAAGATGTATTAATAGTAAAGTAATGACAGAATAATGTTCAGATTTTCTAGTTTAAAGGCATATAAATCGAAAATGATCTCAGTGTAATCTAAATCCATCCAAACGCCACACAACCCCTACCCCGTTCTCTCTGCCCCTGCAATATTTTATTATGTTAAATGCGACTGTGATTTTATCATAATGTCGTTCAAATTTAAAATAAATTATACTGTACTAATTTCATTTTACCCGGTAATCATATATATTGTATTAGAACGATCTTATGGTATGGTTTCATTGACAGTTCTTTTGAGAATGTGAAGTTATATATTTGATGTAATTTGTACATGTTCTCAAGATAGTTTTGTTATTTTCATTATGTGTTATAAATATTCGTATACTGGCTTGTTAAATATAAAAAATCTACTCTTAATTACATTAAAATTATTACATATCGAGAACCTTTGTTGTATTAGAAACATGATATTATAATTATTGTATACATATTTTATGTTGAGTATACATGATATAAACACAAAAATTTGACAAAAATTATATCTGTACACTATATATCTTTCTGTCATATTTTTCATTACATAACTTGTGTTTTTAGGTTATTTAATTTAAATCATACAATCGGTAAATTCCACAACACATTTTCGATCCGCACATAAATACGCATGTGATTTTATGAGTAACTCCACCTGTCTTCAATTTCCATTTGTTGCTTATTTATTACATTTAAAGCGAAAACCAATATCTTAACAAAAGAATCTGCAATGATTCTGCTGAATACATTGTACTGATATACAGCAAATGTTGGTGAGAAGTGTCACTTTAATCTTTTAATAATCCTTCATTTTCTGTCTTTACTTTTGGATATTTAAGGCTATTATCCTAGATGTCTTCTACAACAAATTCTTCTTCCAGGACCGCAATTTCCAATGTTATGTTCTCCAAGGTGTCAGCGATGTCGGCAGACGCAATATCTCTCAGAAAATTGAGCTGAAACAATGTGTATCGTTAATGAGATGAGATGATAATGTTATAATTTGATTTATTTATGAATTAATAGTCTGAAATAGTTGAAAACACATAACGTGTAAGACCTTTATAAATAAGTTAAAACGCTTAAAATAAGGTTACGAAGGTAAACACTTAAACTTTAAGATAAACTTATTAAATTAAAATAAGTAAACTATATATAAAGCGAATATGTCATAGGGTTGAATTATTTGATAACGCATCATACACATTAATGGTATATTCATTTACAATAACTAAACATACACTATATATAATTGTACCTTATCTACATGATTATATACACATATATACATTTATATCAATTATACACTTATAACATTAATATCTGATATTCATAACTACATTATAATAAAGTACAAGAAAAGCATTGATGCAAAGCATCAATGGGCGTCCAAGCAAGAAATGCATCAGGTGCAGATGAACTAGTAGATATATGTTGATAAACTGTTCAATGTTTCATTGGTTTTTACCAGAATTGTATATCACTTATGAACGAAGGAACGAAAGACATTGTTCATTATTTATAAATTTGATTGGCATGCTAGAAATTAGAATATTACTTGTTATTTCTTTATGATCGTGATTATTAATAGCAACGGATATACATGTATACAATCATTTATAATCCATTTGAGTAACGCATGATCAACACCACATTTGTGTGATTGTCCCTTATTATGTTATCGCTATTAGCGAAGATCCCCTCTTAAGGTATCTGTTCACACTTAGTAACAATAAGACACTTGTTATATTACCATGTTGAGCATGTTGAGCATAAATGTTTATTATACACTAATTGTAATATCTTTTTTAATAAAAAATACAGTTTTTATGAATATTGTTTGCTTTTCTTTTTTTGTGTTTTATGCACTATTTTAATACTGAATTTTTACGTTTACTATTATTTTAAGAATTCAATTGTCATAATGACCGACGATTATAAGTCAAAACTTAACTGCAAAAAGTCAGTAAATTATGGTTAATCTTTCAATATATAATATTGTTTATTCTTAAACCATATACATGTACATTTGTTTTTTTCTTTATCATTTCTTAAATTATCAATCAATTGAATAATTCATAAAATCTGATTTGTAACTTTGAACAATTCCTCGGCATCTTTACTAAACACGAATAACAAATTAAATAAAATGTTTCAATGTTGATAGTGTCATATTAATGCCATAAAATGTACATTTTTTCTCAATTATTGTACATATTTATTGTTTTTATCTCATATAGATAAAATAAAACATGCGATGTGTGTTGTTGGGTTTTTTTTCGAATTGTATGTTTAATTATCTATAATAATAATCATTAATTTTGAGAGTTGATCTTTGTTTCTTAATTATTGAAACCAAACTAAGTGACAAACATTCATTTTGAAAAAAAGCTTATTTATCTCACGGATTTATATTAATAAATCCGTGTTTATCTGTAAAAATATTTGTTCTGTTCTGTTACGATATCAAACATCTACTCTAAAACCGGGAGAGACCGGACAATAAATGTGTGGTACTATTCGCCGGTCGTCAAAATAGACCAGGAGAGACCGGGATTTACCGACAGGAGTACATCCATCTATAAATAGATTTTCGGAATATTTAGGTCATCAACTCATCATTCTATTTACAGCTTTCGGAATAACATACCATAATAATCCACTGTGTACTACAAAATGATAAATAGAAATACACTGAAGAGCGCGATTTATTGACGGAAAAGGTTATTTAGATTCTAATTTGAAAATGTTTGCATTGCGAAATTCTCCAGTTCGCTATTCATTGTACAAATCGCGACTAATTAATACCATACCAATCGGAATGATCGGCTATTATTATGAACAACTATAAAAGGCTCGAGAAGTTGCTGTCGCCCTTTCACAAAATCTCATTCCATTACATAAAAGGCGCTGCGTTTCGGCGCGGACGCCAATAATTTGAACACCAAAATAAAGTAGATAGTTTATAATGTAGTGGTTGTTCATAGAAAGTGTAGTCGGACTTCCTTATGATTTTGTTCTTTACTGTATTTATTTCAATTAACCACCTCTCTGTCGATTAAAAATCTATAACCAATCATTATCAGGTAATCGATATCCGCCATATTTTGAATCTACATGTAAACAGTCATTTATGCTTTAAAACTATTATCATCCTTTATTACAAGAGACTAAAAGGTTGACTTATTATTTGCATGTAAAAATTCTAAAAATCTAAAATAACCTTGCTAATCAAAACCCGAATTGTGAACATATGATCAAATGAATCTATTGAATTAAATTAAAATACTGGGGTAACAAAGTACCTTAACAATTTAATATTGTAGTTATATGTAATAGAAGATTATTAGCAAAGGTATGTTTGAGCTGAATTAATTTTGTTTATATTACAGTATTTTTCAAATAACTTGTGTTGACTGAAGATATTTGAAAGAGGAATCTGTAATACAGTATACAATTGTACGTTTACATGCAGGAAAAAAACCCAAATAAACTTTGGTATTGTGGTAGAAAAACAAGTCATTTTCATCTGATAGAATGATCTAATAGACCTATCAACGAAAAAACACCACACGAAAATTAGCGGCCAACGTATAATAATGATTTTGCAGTATACCATTCTGAATACACGCATATGTTAGTACAATGACTTGTGTCAATTAGGAAATTGCTTTCATTTTTTACATATTCTCGTATAACAACCAATAAATATTGCATTCGTGAAAAAAATGCCAACGCATTTATACAGCACTAAATAGTAGCAATATCAGTATACTAATTTTCTTTTGTCTCGATACAATTGAATTTTGCCGTAATGATCTTTGCCATAATGCAGTATTGTCTAAATAAAACCTGGTTCTATGTCATATTTCAGCATGTCAAATGAAAGACAGTAAGCAGATATGTGTAATTCGCAGTTTGCTGTATAAAATCACCATTATGTCAATGGTGTGAATCATAATATTTTCATATTATACTTAAATCATTTCATCAATATTCCAGCAAACCAAACATCTGTCTTGATAGAGGTCATGACCTCAAAGTCAACTCCATTATCTTTAAACCGCTGATTTTTTTAAACAACTAAGCACAAGTGATCACCATTATGAAACAATGTGCAGAAGGCAATAATTTGGTTGCTACCCCTAAGGTCAAGGTAACACTGAAAGGTCAAGTGTTAATACGTCTACATTTCGTGTCCTCTCCATTATTTTTAAACCGCTGAAAAAATAAATGCAATAACTTGGCTGAAATGGTCACTATAAAGACATGATGTGCAGAACCCAACATCAAGGTTACCCCCCAAGGTCAAGGTTATATGTTCTCCATAACTTTTTGACTTTTTGGAAGATTTTAAATTACTTGGCACAAATAATTACTATCAGTAAACTATATGCTTATCATAGACATGGCACAACATCAAAGTCATGGTCTGTAAAACGTCAAGAAGTACACATTCATGTCTGCTGCGAAAGTGGTTTAAGCTGTCCTTTAGACAGCTTTGTTTTTTAATGAAGAAAAATGCAAAACATGTACATATGTATAAAAGACATACCAATCTGTGTTGTTTCATTTTCTTTATTTCACTATGGTTTGAAGGAAAGCTCTGGCGTCCTAGAGCAGGACCTATAGAGGTGCACAAGACAATGTTTTATGCTAATTATCTAACATCTATGCTAGCCCTTGTGTTGAAAAAAAGAAGGTTTTAAAAAAAAACTACTGAATACAATCAAGGAAGAGAGTGAAATAAGAATCCCTAAAGAAAGCCCAACGCGGCAAAATTGAAACTTTTGCAGACTCGGTTTGATTGAGCCTGTTCATGGACGGTACTGTCAAGTGCAATCTACCGTCCACGCCCTCTAGCACCGGCTTTAGCAGAATTCAACATTTAACATGAACTGGTATAACCACATTTACCCTTGGGCGGGGACAATTTTTACCCGAATGCTATGACAAACAATTCACTGCACGGAATCAAACTCTTTGAACAGCTTGGAGCCCTTTACCCAATGAATAATCCTTCTAAGCTTGGTTGAAATCAAACGAGAATGGCGATAAGGATTGAAAAAGTTCTATCCTATTACACTTTTTTCAAACTAACGGAAAACACAATGAGCCAGGAATATTTCTTAATTTTTAAATTATATCTACGTATGTGATGATGATAATAATGGGAATTGTGTTTGTGACCAATCTCTCCTGATAAATTCCCATCAAGATGCTCTCAAATGGCTAGACCAGTTGAAACTGTAGTGTTTGAGTAAAGACATGAGTAATTTGTCCCAGGATTTGCGGAGAATAGAAGATGAAATGAAAAGACAGTCTTTGAAAGTAAGATCTTCAAATAAGCAGTCAACTCTTGGTGCATTTTATGTGAAATATATCGGAAAAAAGATGAAAGTCTGAAAAGGATATTTATACTCCATAAGAACACAACGGAAACTGACTTTATTATGTGAGACGTTTATGTGACAGTTATTTTTTGGTCTGAGTCATACAAGACTTGTTTTATGCATTTATTTTGTTAAAAAATGACTGTTACATTATGTGCTTATTTTGATAATGTGCTTTTGTTAAGAAATGATTCAATATGACTTGTAATGTCAAATGAAAGTTTCTGTAATAATGTTTAATAATGTTAAAAAATAAAAGAAAATAAAAGTGTATGCATTATATATTCCCATTTGACATAGGTTATCCCAGAAATAAACATGTACAGTTCATGTTATCCTTTATGTATTGCATGGTTTTCAGTTTGACCAAACTCATTAATGAGACCAACTCGCTATTAAGACCAGATTTGCAAAGTCCCTCCAGTGGTCTCATTAGCGAGTTTTTACTGTATTATCATTAATTTTTTATATTGACTAACCGTAGTTAATTTCAGTGGACAATAATGACTGTTTATTAAGATTTATCTCTCAATCGGAACACCTCAACGATAATTCATAATTATCTTAGAGTTGATCCTAATTTAAAGAGGAAACAAGAGGGCCACGATTGCCTGAGTCGCTCACCAGAAACAACTGCTTTTCAGAGTTGGAAATTATCCATTGTCAATATTTTCCAATAGTAAATTTGAGCATAGAAAATCTTTAAATAATTATTTAAAGCAATTCAATGACCTGGGGCATTTAAGCTTAAACATAAACGGGGCCAATGAAATTAATATGGGCAAAATAAAAGACTACCTAAGATAAGTAAGAATGCTACAGACAAAGTTTGGTGATCAACACTCAATTATTTCAGTAGGAGATAATGTTCAAATGTTTTTCTATTTTTAACTTTAGTGGCAAATCAATTTGATATGAGCGAACTTGATAAAAGACTACCTAAGAATGCTTCAAACAAAATTTGTTGATCATCAATCCATCTGTTGTGTATAAATAGACATTTAAAGGTATTTCTATTTTTAGCTTTAGCAGCCCTTTAAAGGGGCAAATCAAATTAGTATGAGCACACTTGATATAAGACTACCTAAGAATGCTACAGACAAAGTTTCTTGATCATCCATCATTAAGTTCTGTAGAGACAGACATTTAAACGTATTTCTACATGTATTTTTAGCTTTAGCGGCCCATAAAAGGGGCCAATCAAATTAATATGAGCAAACTTAATAAAAGACTGCCCAAAAATGCTACAGGCAAAGTTTGGTGATCATCTATCCATTAGTTCTGAAGAAGAAGTTGTCTAAAGGTTTTTTTCTATTTTAGCTCAAGAGACCCCTAAAAGGGCCCAATCAAATTAACATGGGCAAACTTGATAAAAGACTACCTAAGCATGCTACAGACAAAGTTTGGTGATCATCCATTTCAGAGAAGACGATTGTTGACGCATGACGACGGACAACGGACAGACGGACGCCGGAGCATCCCTCTTTGATACTAAGAGGTACCCTGAACCGTCAGTTCTGGGTAGCTTAAAAACGGTTCGTTTAACCAGGTGGCCTTTGATGTAAATAACTTTACAAAGCATAATGAAAAAACATTAGCAAACAAACCCAGCGTTTACTTACTACATGTATATAGTAACATATTAATTGTGTAATGTAGGTAAGGCTGTTATGTAGTGTTTTCCTTTCCTTATCCATCAGGTAAGACCGAGGATATACTTTTTCTGCAGGACATTTAACATCATGTTATCATTTTAATTTTTGACTTAAAAAAGTAATGAGACGCTTAATATTCTATTAAAGCACACAAAAATGTGAAAATTGTTAACATGGCCAAAAGAAATTTGCTTTACCTAAAATCTAACTCAATTTATAGTATGCATGTATATTATTACATTCATACTTTTTTCTTTACACCTTTGAATTATATTATTATGAACATATATAAAAACCCTTTATTTCAATTACTAAATATTCTATTTTAATGTTTAGTATGTGCATTCGTAAATGAAATATACATGTGTATAAGGTCTGATGTGAAATTAATTAATGTTAATGTCAATCAAATTGCGTTTGTTTGCTTAAAAATAATAAGGAGCGTCAACAAAATGAACTATAATATAACTGAGTCAGTTTCCCAACAAATCAAAATGTAAGTCACACATCCGTTTTTTCACATATATCTGACTGACAATGTTATGTACTACTACATATTTAAGATTAATCTATAGTTTCATCTCATTTACCTGCATCGGTAAGTGTAAGAACATAATTGAACAGCGGGTATAAAAGATGAATCAAAACAAAAGAGAAGTATCCAAATATTTCTATATGTAATAGATCCCCATTGGACAAAGAATCGAGAAGAATAATTTCATACTCGTCACTACTCTTTACATTTATGTGTCGACGTGCTGTCATCCAAAATGTTGTCTACAACAAAGTCGTCTTCCCAAACCGCAGTTTCGAATGTAATAGTCTCCGAAGTGGCATTGATGTCGACAGTAGCAACGTCTTCTAGCACCTGAGAACTGAGCTGAAAATATACGCATTCAACTAGTATTACAAAGTATAATTTGACTATGGCTGACATATGACAATTCAGGGATTTTGAAACGCAAAAGAAGTGTGAATGCATACGAGCGAATAATCATCTGAGTATAAAGAAGCGTCTGTTGCCGAGTGACTTAGGTCGTTGACTTCTAACCACTAGCCCAACAACACTGTGGGTCCGGAAACCGCCAGTGACTTTGGATTTTTTTATGTGAGTGTCACAGGGTGAGGAAAATGTGCAGCCTGACCGGGACTCGAACCTGGTACATTCGGAAAACCGTTCCGCGGCTCTACCGACTGAGCTATCCGGCCGCTAATACATCTTCTTCCCTAAATAGTGAACAGTTCTGAACCGTGACATACTTCACCACAATTTTGAAATTCGTCCTCGAATTTCACAAAGCTACAGCACAATGCTAGTTTAACTCTGAGCTAGAGGCAATCACGGCCCAACGATGGGCGCAAAATGTCACAGGGTGAGAAAAATTTGCAGCCTGACCAGGACTCGAACCCGCTCCTAAATAGTGAACAGTTCTGAACGGTGACATAGGGAAACTATCCAGCTAATTAACTGGATTTATTCTCAGATCTATGCAAAAATAGGTGTAAAAACATAAAAAATGGTGTTAACATAATTCATAGAATAGATTCTTAGTTTTAGACGACTTAAAAGACTTTTGTTGCAATCAAGCAAAAAAATTAAATTTTCAGCGAAAATATTTATTGTTAAACTACCGCTTATAACAGGCTTAAACCGATGCTATAACAATCTAATATATTTTCGCTTTTGATTTTCTTTAAGATTTGCTTAAAAATTCAAATATCATTATAATAAACGAAAACGTACCGTGTGCAGCATCTGGAAGAACCAACATGGTTATACAGCCCACCATCAATATTATCAACAATGATTTATTCATGTTAGTCTGTGCGAGAGTACTTGCAGCTTTGACGTGGTGACAAGTTAAACCTTTTTTATTTATATAATTAATGATTTCAAAACAGGATATTGTGGTTGATAACAAGTAGTTAACATTTACTTGATAACAATTAGTTAACTTTTCCTTGTTAATTAGATAGGTTATAATGTCTTACATGTCTTACAGATATTATAGGACAGAAAAAAAACTTTAAACACACTGTTTTTGTTGTTGTTGATGTTGTTTCTAGAGAGAGGGAAAGAGAGAGAGAGAGAGACGGAGAGAGAGAGAGAGAGAGAGAGAGAGACAGAGAGGGGGGGGGGGTGTTCGTAACCATTTTGTTATGGTGGGGAGCATCATCTCAAATTTATGAACATACAACAAACTAATATTTTATTTTTCTTTTATTTTTTTTACTTTTTTTTCCGGTCTGTTCCACTTTATATTTACAAAATAAGCATCCTTTCCTTTTACAATTAAAAACAAAAGAACATTAAACACTTTATTTACATTTATGACGAAACAATTGTTTTAGAAAATAATTAGACATTGTGTGTATACCTATATGGTAACAAATATCATTATTAGTGTTGTTTTAAGTTGATTAATTTCAGTTTTATAGTCATTTTAAGTAATTGAATATTTAATCTATGATAAAGGAAAACATGTTTAATTCATTAGTGACGGCATTTTGTTTTTACGCCATGACTGGTATATTTTTGTTTCGTTAAAGGGATTCTAAAGGTTTTGTTCTTTCTTCATAAATTTGGTGAATGTCATCCATTGATTTTCGGATAACAATAAAGTGAAGAGATCAGACAATAAATGAATAGTTCTGCAGAAATTAACTTTAACACTTTGTTTCTTGCTCATAAATGCATGATCGAACGCAGTTAGCATACTGTCCACTGATGTTCCTTTTAAATCGGAAGTACATGAAAAGCAGCTGTAGCGAAACATTCCAAACAGGATAATTTAAACCTCCACTTCCGACATGCAAGAAAAGGTCTGGTTTTGCAATTGTTACTGAAATACACTCATATCATTTAGGAACTTTAAGACGGATGCTTCTACCTTCAATGAGGCTGTCTGATAGAAAGCTTATGCCTTACCAACCACGGAACCTCTAATAAGATTTCTCTCAGGTATCATGTAGTTTTGTAAATGATTGTTAATGATACAGTGCTTTATGAAAAATATCGCTTTTTTATAAGATGTACTAAGTGATTTGGCGACAGTTGACAAGAATGTGTCATTTCCATTACCCAGAAAATTACGATTTATTATTACACAATTATGAAGTTAGAAATTTATATGTAAGTTTTAACATTGTTTTTGGCCATGATTTTCAGTAACACATACACTTTTATTTGAGTTTCAGAAAAAACTTAATACTTATTTCTTTTCTGCAGTAGTAAAGCAGATTCTCCATTCATATATTTGCATATCGCTGTGTGTGTCACCGATTGGAACAATATATCTTTCCATTAGGGAAACCTTATTTATAACCTCGAGGTAAGGCCATCTAAAGTCCCTAACCCTTTTTTTCCAAACATAAACAAAAATACACTATAGCCTGTCAGTATCAGTACAATATGGAAAAATGGAAACATTGACAGTTGATCCAGTTTAATTATTACTACTCTGGTCATATGCAATATTATTTACACTGTCAAGAAACTTGCGCCTAAACTTTTCACTTGAAATGTAGTTTTCCCAGAGTGGGGCTGATAATTGTCGCATAGCGTCAAATATGATATTTTGATGTAGAAATGAAATTAAAATTACGTTAGTGTAACCTAGTGCCGTAGTAGTAAAGTCAGTTAGTTTCAAGAACAATGATGTCATTATTCTCAACACCTTCATCAATTGCGTATAGTCTTGGCTGCTCAATTGAGTTGCCGTACCATTTGTCAATGTCAACGAAAATTTATCTTTCAATTTAACAAACTAGCAAGAAATCTCTGATAAAGTAAGAAAACATGATAACACAAAATAATTATTAGAATATTCTTTATTTGTGAGAATAACGTTTAGTGTTAGTCTTTGTGAACGTTTGTGTTTTCAAGAACGAATCAGATGTTGCCAAGTCACAAATCTTGTTCTAAATGTCCCCGAATGTAATTCTTTCCCCTGTCTTGTTGATGGCTCTAGTTGTCCCTTTTATGCAAAATGTCCTAACAATTTCTTAACATATATCGAAAAATGTAGCCATAGATCAAAATTGATACATGACAAATTCTTAAGGTTTGATGTTATTTTTTTTTTGAATTGCTGTCTTATTTTTTCTTTAATAAAAAAGAAATAATGTCAATCTGAAGTCATTTTAGAAATGTTTGAGGGTCACAATTTGACTTTGGAACAGATATTTGATTTATTTTATAAATCTTCAAAATACATCTTTGTTGTTAGCAATTGATTATGCCACCAATAAAAGTTCGTGTGCTAGTGGAAACAGTTCATTCAACGACATCAGACATGCAGAAAGTCCCTGAGATTGTTTTAGGTAATGTTGCACGTGCGCTCATTTCCTCGCCCGTATTGGTAAAAAAAGCTTAGTAGCAAGTAGGCCGAAATCGCATAATGACATAAATATTGCCGTAATGACCTTGACATATCCCACTTTTTGTTACTTTATATAGTACGTAAGTAACATATATATTAATTAGTAATATGAATTTATTCCATAAAAAAATAACAAAGTTATAGCCAGTTACAGAAAAACATGAGGATTATATTTATTTGACCTTGGAAGCTAATGCCATTTTAAGGTCAATGTCATCATTATGTTTGTTTGGTTGCAAGTGTTATTTTGTCCACGTTTAAATCAAATCAGTAAATAAATAAAAATGAATGACAATTTAAACAAAAATTTAATAATTTGACATTGACGGTAAAGGTCTTTTAAAGTTCAAGGTCAATGTCAGTTCAACTGACAATAGCAAAGTCAGTGAAATTTCAAAAATCAAACCATCAAGGTCAAGGTCATAAAAATCTAAAGTCAATTTGAGTTTAATATACATGAAGGTCTTATCCTAAGGAATGTTCTTTTATAATATGAAGTCAATCCGCTTAATAATATCACAGCTATAGCCAGTTACAGCAAAACAATGAAACTTTCAATATTTTGACCTTCAAAGACAAGGTCATTTATGAGTGAAGGTCAAGGTCTGTCAGGTAAAATGAAGGTCTATCTTAAAAGGTTATCACGTTAAACTCTTATGACAATTCATTCAAAAATAACGAAGTTAAAACCGCTAACAGCAAAAAAAATCATCGCTGTGGCCAAATATGAAGAAAAATTACCAAGAACTTAAATCGGTACAACTTAATTTATATTAATGGTTCTAACGAATAATGAAAACTTTATCGTGTTCGACTTATAGTAAAAGAAAATGTGTTAGGAAGGAGAACTTTAGGGAGAATTCTTAAGGGAAGGAGGAAATGGTCGTTTGGAGCGCCGATGGGGGTAGCGAGAATAGTCTGTCATTCTGAAGAATGGGTATATGTGATAGCCAGTTTTCATGTGAGTAATCATTATGGTAAACTCCGACGGAGCTCTAATCCATCAGCTCTCGGTTGAGAGGCAAACACCATTAGTACTATGACTCATTTTAACATAATGTAACAGAGGTCAAGGTGACTATAATTATGACCGGTATTACAGTCTTGCACCCAGTTTAATCATGTTTATTTATGCTTGATTGAGAAGAAATTTTGATAGCTTTATCATGTATGAGTTCACTTCCAGAAACCAACCAATACTGCCTTGTCGAAATTGAACAATGGTTATAACCATGGTATCGCTTGAACCAAACATTCCTAATTTAAACAACGGACATCTTATTCTTGTATTAAACATAATAGTAAAACAAACACTAACTTGTATCAAAAGCATTTTATTTTATTTGTTTAAAGGTTTTCATTCATAATTAGTGTACAAATAAACAAATGATTATATGTAGTGATAATTGCAGTAACAACAGTTTAAACATTTTCATTTATTTGTTTCAAACAAAAAAAATAACATAACAGACATGATATCAAAACAAGCTCATCACCATATAATATATACAAGAAATGATAGATGAATTACACATCATCATTACAAGAACAAAATATAACTGAAAATGTCAGAATGTCTAATGAGACAGGAAATTACTTTGAAAACATTTGAATATACGTTCATGTATATATAAATAAATTATGTACCATGAACTGTCTAGCATTAACTAAAATTATATGAAAAATATATAGCTTTTATTGCACAAAGGGAAATAACTGAAGTAAATTTACTCAACATCTATTTACAGCATTTACTTCCCTTTAATAATATACGGTCAATAATAGATTTCTGAATATTCGAAATACGCTTACAAGTAGCCTTTTTTTACTGTTTTTTTCCCAAATTGATCATTATAAATAATCTGAATTTAGACAAGGTAAGAGTCTATAAATATTATGTTGGTCAAAGTATATAATAAAGGTATTTACATCCAGCTTTAATTTGAAAAACAGACAAATAAACACTTTATTTTTTGTTAAATAACAAGTTTTAGAAATAGTAGGATAATATAGAAGATAATCCCCAATAAACATGATGATTTTATAACAATAATTTGTATTGTCATGTGTTTCTTTATCCCGTGTAAATAATCAAGAGATGATGATAATACAAAACATTATTATATTACATTATTGCATTTCTGGTACCTAAATATCACCTTAATATAACATGCATAACGTATGATAACTTCCAAAAACATTGCATAGCGTACAATTACTACTAAAAACCTGTATAACATACGATAACTATTGAAAACATGCTTAACCCATTACGTTATATACACGCCTTTTAACGCCTTTTTCACCCCCCCCCCCTTTTGTTGTCTCAGATGGTAAAAAGATGCCTTATTTAGACCCCAACACTTGTTTTTGTTTGAGAATGTTGTTAAAAAAGTGACCACTTTTTCGGCGTGGGCACCCAACCAAAAGATACATCAGGGGGTTGCCAGAAGGGGGATGTGCCCCCTTCTGTTTGGGGGGTTTGAAGGT